TACGTGAGATCAGCTGTAAATAAAATGATACGCTACACAAAAGCTCGGTCGAGTGTGTAAATAAGACGCGCATTTTACTTATGCGAACACTTTGGTTTATAATTTCAAAGGCACATACACCTTGGAAGACCAAGTCAACTAAGCTCTAGAGGCACAATGGCATAATAACTATTAAGACACGACAGGTGGTTTCACGTCAACTGGGTCCAAAATAGTTGCTAAAATTAAAATACATAAGGATATTTTATATGAAAGAAATATCGAAATGAAGGTATAATAACTATTAAGATACAGGCGGTTTCACGTCGACTGTGTCCAAAATAGTTGCTAAAATTAAAATTCATGAGGATATTTTATATGAAAGAAATATCTAAATCAAGGTGACATTATGACATTATTCCAAATTTCATAAAAAATTCAAATCACCATTTAAGTGACATATTTAAAATTAAAAAAACATTTTTGCCAAGTATCAAAAACACTCTGAATAAACATATTAATACATTCCAAAAAAAATTACTTAATCTTATAATATCACAGAAACATATTCTTCTTAAACAAAATAATAAAAATATCACGGTAACAGAAAATATAATTCAAAATTTATTGTGCCAAAATGATTATAAGAACTTTATTTACAATGAACAAATCCTTTACAATAAATTAATAACAAAAAAATCTAATTCATTGGATCAAAAATTTGAAAAATTAAAACTTAAATTAATAAAATCGCTTGACATAAACATAAAAGAAGACTGGTTTATAAACAAAACTGATATAGAATTCCCAGCTGATGTGCAGTGGCTTCTCTCTCTTGGTTCTAATTTCTCCCTACCTCTTTCTAAAAAAAGCTTTCCACTTCTTAAGTATTTAACAGATGGAGAAGACTGCATTAATACTTTAGAAAATAAAGAAGAGCAAGAAATAGCGAGAACACAACTTATCGGTATGGTTGAAAGGTATAAAAGACAAATAACACATTCTCCTATGGAAAAATACATATTGCGCACAGTGGAACAAGCGAAAAAATTTTTAAAACTGAATAAAAACATTTTAATACTTAAATCTGATAAAGGCAACAAAACAGTTGCTATAAAAAAAGAACATTATGACAAAGAAATTAAAAATATAGTAAATGATATTATGACATACCGAATACTCAGAAGAGATCCAACTTCAACGTTACAAACTAAAAATAATACAATAGTCACAAAACTTTTTGATAATCAAATAATAAATAAAACAGAAAAACTAAAATTATGTACATATACAGCCAACCCACCTAGAATATATGGGTTACCTAAATTACATAAGGAAAATATGCCACTTAGGCCTATTTGCTCTTCAGTTAACTCACCATCATACGAATTGTGTCGATATATAGCGTCAATTTTAAAAAATCTGACCATACATTCGGTTTATAATGTTAAAGACTCAATTGATTTCAAAAATAAGGTCAGTAATTCATATATATTCGATGATGAAATAATGGTATCCTTTGATGTAGTATCCTTATTTCCGAATATACCGGTTGAACTAGCCATTAAAATTTTGGAAAAGAAGTGGAATATAATTAAGACATTCACTAAGATTACTAAATCACTTTTCTTCGAAATTTTAAATTTCTGTCTTAAAGAAAATAATTACTTCATGCTAGACAACAAAATTTACAAACAACGTAAAGGCATGCCAATGGGCCCACCGTTATCACCCATTATAGCAGATATCGTGATGGAAGAATTATTGGAAAAGTGTGTGGATGACCAGGAATATAAACCAAGATTATTAACGAAGTATGTAGATGATATCTTCGCGATAATACGCAGAAATAAAATAACTCAAATACTTCAAATTTTGAATTCTTTTCACACAAATTTAAAATTCACCATAGAAGAAGAAAAGAATAACAGGCTTCCTTATTTAGATGTTGAATTAATTAGACATAATAACCAAATTCACTTTCAATGGTATAAAAAGTCTTCAGCGTCAGGAAGATTAATTAACTACAATTCCAATCATCCTAAACACGTGATTTTAAATACAGCATCCAATTTTATTAGAAGAGTTCTAATACTGAGTGACAAAATTTTCCATAATGAACAAAAGAACATAGTGCGTGATATTTTAATAAAGAATGACTTCCCCGTAAGGATTATTAATATGATGCTTAATAAGACCTTTAAAAAGCTCCAACCTAACAATAATAATGACAAAAAAATATATAAATCCATTGATTATGTTCCGAAATTGTCAAACCAAATAATGAATTCTAGTATATATGACAAGGAACGTCATAAAATTACTCATAAGGCAACAAACACAATAGCTAAATTATATAGCAATACGAAAACTAAAATTAATAATAAAGACAAATCTAATGTAGTGTACCAGCTGAATTGTAAAGGTGACGGGTACAATGTATGTAACAAAATATATATAGGTACGACTAAAAATAAGCTTAGGACAAGGATGGCTGGACATAAACATAGTTTAAAAAATAAAAGTGGTGCTGAAGCCAATACAGCATTGGCTGTGCATTGTATGGAGCATAAACATGAACCTGATTTTGATAAGGCAAAAATTTTATATGAAGAAAGGAACCATAATAAGAGGTACTTTCTAGAAATGCTCTCAATACTTCAAGTGCCCAATAATATAAGACTTAATTATAAAACTGATACGGACAACTGTGCTCAGGCTTATAGGAATATTATAAACAAATGACACAGGATGTTTGTAAAGCTTTTTTTGTTTTTTTTTATAAATTTTTTTTATAATTTTAATTTTTCTTTTGTATTTTTATTGTTGTTTTTTCTCTTGTTGTCATCATTATTATTGTATTTATTGTATGATTTTTCTTTATAATCCGCTATAAAAATGTGAACATCCTATATTTTGTGTAGTTTTCCCTGAAGATGACTATCGAAGATAGTCGAAATATCGGAAATAAATTATAAACGATTTTTAAATATAAATAATAAATTAGTGTCTTTTTATTTATATTAAAATTTGACCAATTAGCCCGGTAACAAATTATTATAATAAATCAAGGTATAATAATTATTAAGACACGACGAAAGAAATATCGAAATCAAGGTATAATAACTATTAAGATACAACAGGTGGTTTCACGTCGACTGTGTCGAAAGTAATTCTCTGTAATACGCAAAGGAGACCGACTATAACGAAAATCTCCAAACGAAGGCATAGTTGTAGTAAAATACTTGAACACGACAGGTGGTCTCACGCCGACAGTATATAAAGTAATTCTACAAGATCCATAATAAGCCCACTAATAAATCCCACACTCTTAGATAAAGTCAGAAGAATACAACAACAGGGGCCTGAAGGAGAAAGTTCTATCAAGGACATTCATGCACTGAAACTTCTCAAAAGACATCTCTATTTATTTGTTTAATTTTTTTTGCCCTTAAGAAAGAAAAAAAAACACACATACAAATTTTGTTTGTATACATATTTTTTTTTATATTTTTCTTTGAAATAAAAAGTTAGTTTGTTTCCTTATATTAAATATAAACTTAAAATTTATAAATTTCGAAATAAAGCATTACGTAAATAAAGAAATTGAAACAAAACCACAGCACTTTGAATATTTTGGTCACAATCTATAAATTTATTGTGACGACTTTGGCGAGACTGAGCATACCTCAGCAAATAAGCTACGACTGCAAGAAAGGGTCGTTACAGCCTTTAATGAGTTACCAATGATGAAATGAGCATGTGTCAAAGCCTCAAAGTCATTTGGATCAGAAGAAAGTAGAGCTATCGGTCGTGAATTAAGTATAGCTTCTACTTCAATCAGGGCAGTATTTAGTTCTTCTTATTTAGTTAGTAAGACGAGCATTAGCAAGAGTGCGATTTAAATAACCCTTTGTTGACTTCACTGCAGCTTCCCGCAGACTGCCGAAATGTGGAGGAATGAAATTGAAGTTTATATACTCATTAGAATAAAAGTTAATAATCGATTGCTTATTGCTGAAATTGAAAATAAAGTTTTTCAACTCAGTAAGTTTTCGATTTGCTCCAACAAAATTTGTGGCATTATCACAAAAAATATTTGTTGGCAAGTCTCTTCTGCCTATCATGCGTTTTAGCGCTGCGATAAATGCATCTGTTGTGAGATCTAAAACAACTTCTACTGCCTTTGACCATAGACACACAAAAATAGCTACGTATGTTTTATACGGTGTTTTGCCTCTTATTCGGAGCTAGGTGTTGACTGGTCCACAAAAATCAACAGCACAGCGAGAAAATTGTCTGCAAGGTGTAAGACGCTCTACAGGCAAGTTACCCATCATTTGCTGGAGTAACTTCGGTTTATAACGTACACAATGTACACACGATCTAACAATTCGGCGCGCAATATCTCTAGCATTGATGATCCAAAATTAAAACCGTATAAAAGCAACTAGTGCCTTAGGTACAGCGTGAAAATTGGTAATATGCAAGTGACGTACGTGTGGTCTTAGATCGCCTCCTCGTGGTGCCCCCTGGGTAACGCCAAATGATCTATTCCCCCTTCCTGGATGCTGTCCTCTTTCAGGGGCTCCAGCATCCTCTGGTAACGACCGTTTTTGTCCTCGGACCACGTTTCTTCATATCCTCTTTTTGTATTTGATCGCTTTGGGCTGGTGGTTACAGGTTTCTGGACCTAGCTGTCTTCTGATACGGTAGCATCGGGGTGAAACTCGTGTGTGAACGGCTCCAGGCTAAGTCTGTGGCTTCCTCCGTCCCGTTAAAACCCTGGCAGGCCTCAAAGTACGTTCTGCATCCGTCACCATTAAGTTGGTCGTGTAGGTTCGGTTAAAGCTTAGCTCCCGATTAGTTCTGGTCTGGCTCTGAGCACTTGTTCCCATAAGGACCTGTGCCAACCTTCGCATGGCCTCCCTGCACTTGCATAGATAACCATGGGACTTCTTTTTATCAGTAACTACACTTACGGGTGCCAGATAGCGGTTTTGAATGGGGACCCTTTTAGAATGAACAAATCCAATCAAAACTTTAACAAAACTCCTAAAACTCCTAACCCTTCAGGGGGGCGTTCAAGCATTACAAGCCAAGCGCCTACTAACAACCAGCCGTCTAGAGCCTCTGCTCAGGCGGTTCGAACAAGTAATGCTCCGTCATTGAGCACCTTAGCAACTGTGCCAGGTGGTAATGCTGCCTCCTGCTCCTCTGCTAGTGCTGCGGTCAAAGCTAATACGCCGACCGCTCCATCTGCAATTAGTACCAACTCAACTTCCGGTACACGTTCTCACCCTAACCCCTCGACAAGGGCGTATAGGGCGCGGAGTTCAGCATACTGCATCCTTTCTAGGCTTAATGCTGCAGATCCTTCCTCGCTTTCAGAAAGCGATAAGGCATCACTAAAGTGGGCAAGGGAAAATGTCAATCTCCGGCCCTCTGACATCACTTCTACTTCTGCACCTGCTCAGAAACGACAAAGGTCGATTGAGCAGGCTGGTAAATCTATTCCATCAAGCGCTCCTAAGCGCTCCAAATTTGGTCCTCCGAGACCCTCATCTTTGTCAAAACCTCTCAGCGAAATAGTCAAAGAAAGCCTGACCTGAGCCATCATCGACACTGGCAATAGTGATGGCACCATCTCTCCAGCAAACTGGAAGAAATTCGAACGGGCTCTCCTCAAAATATATATGGAAATTATTGCCCTCAACCCTGGGCCATCTCCCAGCTGTAAAGACGCTGGATGGTACCAGGGTCATATTGAAATCATTGCCTGCTCAGACCAGCGCTCCGAGGATCTATATAAGCAAACGATCGAAAAGGTTGAGGAACTCTGGCCCGGCGCACAGCTCAGAGCTGTTTCGGTGGATAATATCCCACAACGCCCCCGCTCCAAAGTGTGGCTTCCTTCGGAGCTAACCTCCCCTGAGGAAACTCTTTCCACTTTAAGGGCCAGTAACACTGACCTCCCCACGCATAACTGGAAAGTTGCAAAGGTCAGTGACCCCAAGGGCGACTTCGTTGAAGCCGTCGTATTTCTTAACGAACAATCTCTAGCACCCCTTCAAGCCTGAAATGAGGTGATTCACTATGGCTTCGGGTCGGTCACTCTACGTGTTTACAAAAGCGACTCTCAAATCGCTAAACAACAACCTTCTGGTGGATAACCTTCGGAAACGATCTCCGATGACGGAATCGGCTCCATCTCCGTTCCAAACAATCCTGATGTAGGGACTTCCGATGTAATCGGCAATCTCTCCTCCGAAGACGGAGATAGCGTAATCTCGTCTTCCGAACTGGTCGGCGAGTTCTTTATAGGTATGGCGCTCTCCCGGGAGACCGCACCGATGTCGGCCGAGGATGAACTGGACAGTACCATAGTTGAAAAACAACCAAGCTGTTGAAGGTCGTCCAAATTAACCTCCAACACTCCAAAACTGCTTCTGCAGCCCTTACCCTCCTTTTAGCTGAAAAAGGAGAGGACTTAATGTTGATCCAAGAACTTTGGATTGGAAACAATCGGGTTTGCGGACTGAATACAAACGGTTATCGGTTAGTATTCACAGAAGGTCAAGGTAAACCAAGATCTTGCATTCTAGTAAAAAATAACATTAATGCCTTTTTACTCCCTAGGTTTAGTGACAATGACAATGTAGCCAGGGCCATCGAATACGATTCCAAGGCCCTCACATCAGCATTTAGATGCGCCACAAACGCGGCCTGCAAGCAACCCGAATTTAGGGGCAAACCCAAACCTCCTTGGTGGAACCTAAACATTGCAGACCTCCGAAAAACCTGTAGAAAACCTTCATATAAAGAGAAGCAAAGAGAATTTAAATACGCCATTAGGCGGGCCAAAAGGGCAGCTTGGAAAAACATCTGTGGCAACATAGAATCCTCCTCTGAGTCTAGCCGACTGCACAAAATCCTCAATTCCACCCATAAGACACTTGATTGTATCCAGGCTCCAAATGGTCAATGGACCAACTCCAGTAAGGAAACTCTCGACATCCTTCTGGACTCGCACTTCCCAGGGAGCGTAGCCTCTGATGCAGATTTATCAACTCAAATCAGCTTGCCCCTTCTAAACAATCCGAAACCGTTTCAAGTGACCAACACTCAAATCAAGTGGGCTATCTAAACTTTTAAACCTTATAAATCTCCAGGTCCGGACGGAATTATTCCCGTCGATATTCAACAAGGTAAATTCGTAATCCTCCCCTGGCTCCTAAGCATTTACAATAGTTGTCTCAAGCTTATGTATGTCCCAAGCTGCAGGAGAGTGGCTCGAGTAGTCTTCATTCCCAAAGCAGGGAAAATAACTCACTGCAGTGCCAAGGACTATAGACCAATTAGTCTGTCTTCTTTTCTTCTTAAAGTACTGGAGAGAGTTCTTGATCAGCATATCAGGAACAAGATAAATTCAGCACTCTTATCTCCATCACAGCATGCTTATACCAAAGGCAAGTCTGTCGATACTGCGCTTCATGCACTCATCTCGCAAGTTGACCACTCCATCTCTCTCAGGGAATTCACACTTGCCACTTTTCTCGATATTGAGGGCGCTTTCAACAATGTCTGCCCCAATGGTATCATAAAATCCCTCTCAAAGCTAAATCTCGACAATAGTCTGGTTAAATTTGTAGAGGCCCTTCTCAAAACTAGGATTATTATATCCGATATCGGAAGTGTTTAATCCTCCAGAGCAGTCAGGGTTCTCTCTCCTCTTCTATGGAACATAGCGGTTAATTCTTTGCTAAAACTTTTGAAGCAATCCGGATGCAGTGTTATAGCGGACGACATTGCTATTGCCTCATCTGGCAAATTCCCCCAATTTTTATCCAATGTTTTTAACTCTGCGCTCCTCATTGTCACTAAATGGTGTAGGGAATTCGGTCTTTTTATTAACCCCGCAAAGACAGAAATTATTCTCTTCACCAGGAAATATAAAATACCGACATTTTCCTTACCAAAGATAAAGGGCGTTACTCTAAATTTAAGTTCGAACGTCAAATATCTGGGTATTATTATGGACTCTAAACTCAGCTGGAAAGAGAGAGCCCGCAAAGCCGTATGCGCCACCTACTGCTGTAGAAGAGCTATAGGTCGCAGTTGGGGGCTCAAACCGTGCATTATACTCTGGGTCTATTCAGCTATTATCGAACCAATTCTTCTGTATGGGGCTGCTTTCTGGTGGCAGGCAACTGAAAAAGCGTGCCACACCAAATTAATTGACAAAACTAGAAGGATAGCTGCACTACAAATCACTGGTGCTCTTCGCTCCACCCCCACGCAATCTCTTTTCGCTATGCTTCATTGGCTGCCATCTCGGCTTCTGGTAAAACAGCATGCCGAAATAGTTGCAACCAGGCTCAACGCCCTCTCCTACTGGTCAAGAACTGATATAGGCCACGCGATCGTACTGAATCAGGATCTGCCAACTCCCGTCTCTATTGACTACATGTGTTGCTACCCAGACCTAATCAGGGGGTTCGAATCTCTTATACCTAGCAGGGAGGACTGGATCCTTGAAAGAGTGATCCCTCTCCAAACGGTCGACATTTACACGGACGGCTACAAAATAGATAAACGAGTCGGCTGTGGCATTTTCGCTTCGACTTCCAAACCACTGTAGCGTCTTTCAAGCTGAAATAACGGCAATTCACCAAGCTGTAAAATGAGTTCTAAGCAATCAAACATCCGATTTACCAATCTCAATTTTCTCTGATAGCCAAGCTGCCATTAGATCACTGATTGGCACCTCAGCCACATCAATCACAACTCAAGACTGCCGTTCTTCACTAAATGACCTAGCTAGGTTTGTTAGGGTCAAACTTATTTGGGATCCTGGACACAGGGATATCACAGGAAATTGTAGGGCAGACGACCTAGCCAAGGCAGGTGCTCTTCTCCCCAACATTAACCTCTCTGATATAGGCGTTCCATTTGCTACAATTAAACTGGCAATCATACAAAAATATCTGAGCATAGCCAGGCAATACTGGGCTGACGAACCTCAATGTCAGATTTCTAGGTTGACTTGGCCGAACTTAGACAAGAAAAGAACTAGTCAGCTACTTCAACTAAGATGGAACCTGCTCAGCACTACGGTATCTGTGCTGACGGGACACTGCGTAATAGGAAGGCACGCTATAAGACTGGGTCTCCCCTTTAATGACTTTTGTCGAGGTTGTGGCTCTGAGGATGAGGAGGAGACTGTACTCCATCTTATGTGTCAGTGCCTTTCCCTAGCCAGAAGAAGATTTAAAACCCTTGGATCTCCTTTTCTAACTGACCTGGCTGAGTTGTCATCCTGTAATGTTAGGGACCTAGCCAAGTTCATAGAACTGTCAGGTTGGTTTTCCTTTACCTAATAGGGGAGTCGTTACCTTTCTTTCGACGTTGAATGTATACTGATTACAATCTTTATACAAATCAATGTAACTCCTGTGGTATCACAATGGACTACTATTTGTGCTTAAGTGGGCTTTTTGGGATACAAGGCCGCCACTCCAACCAACCAACCAACCAAGTGACGTACGAGACATTCGACAAAATAACATTTGCTGGGTAGTAATACAGGATGCCTTTGCATATGAGGTAGTGAAGCTAGTTCTAGACTTCCACCAACATTTAACAAGTTGTACACAAACGTATCTTTACAAAATGGGTTGAGAAATTTGCAAACACCTTGACCTCCTACTTCTTTTTTTACACGACGAATATCTTCAGCAAAATATGTTTGTTGGATGTTCCAAACTATACACCAAAGCGCTGTTTCGATTTCTTGTGCAGACATTGATTCTGTTTCACAAATTTTGCGTACTGATTTATTTAACTTCCTGAAAAAATGAAGCATCCACGCTATCACACGTACGCTAGTGATGTGTGAACTAAATTTCGATAGTTTTTCACCGATATAATTACAATTTTCTGCGACGACAAATACAGCCTTTCTTTTTTCTTTATTAACTTGTTTCATGTCGATAGTAACCCGACCTACTTTAGGCCACCCAATTTGTGGACCGTATAAAAACGCTGGGCCCTTACACCAAATTGATTCAATAATATCTGGAACTATGCAGGGTTCTGTTGTGATGGTACATATCTCCAATCGCAATTAACGGTGAAATCCTGTATAACTGATACTCGATTTCCTACAAAAGTTGATAATGTCGATAATTGCATACTTAACCAATGTAGCACAGTTTGTGAGTCACACCACAAATAGGTTTCAAACTTGATATTACTGAAAATACTTTTAACCTTGTCAAAGAGAATAGCAAGTAACTGAGTTGCACAAAGCTCAAGTTTCGGCAACGACTTTTTCTTCGTAGGAGCCACACGAGATTTTGTACATAGCAAATTTACAACAGTGTTTTGTATTGCATCCTCTACGCGAAAATAGAAGCAACAACCATATGCTTTTATGGATGAGTCACAAAAGCCATGTTTTTAAATAACCTGTGAGTTGACAAAAGCGCGGTATAATAATTGAAGATAGTGAATATAGTTGTTTCAGGAAATTTTTCCACGCAGTGTATAAATTCTGTGGTATTGTCTTATCCCAATTTAATTTGAGTATCCACAATTCTTGTAAAATTAT